AAGGAAATAAGGATGAAAAGGAGGAAGGGAAGGAGATAGAGGGAAGGGAGGAAGGATAGGATGGTGAGGGAGAGCGGGGCCTGAGAAAAGAGTCCAAGGGGCCGCATCCACCCCCTGGGCCTGGGCTTTCCCATACCTGCTCTAGGGCAACCCATACATTTTGTCATTTCCCCTTAAGCCACAGATACTCAGAAGTGGTTTTATCAACCCCTTTCTCTGCAATGCAGCCTCTAGCAGCACCTGGGATTCATAAGCGGACTCCCATCCAAGTGCTAACCAGGGCTGGCCAAAAGTCAACATTGACATTGAAATTCAACACCGCCTGAGCTCTGTGAGTACAGCATTTTTCCAAATGAAGCAGAGAGTGTTTGAGGACGGGGGCATCTGTATTGAGATCAAGGGGCTTGTTGATAAAGTCATTGTCCTCCCAACACTGCTCTATGCCTGCGAAATGTGGACTGTCTACAGATGTCACATGCAACTCCTGGAACGATTCCATCAGCTCTGCCTCCGGAAAATCCTGCAAATCTCTTGGGAAGACAAGCGGACAAACGTCAGCATGCTGGAAGGAGAAGCAAAGACCACCAGCACTGAAGTCAGGTTCCTCTGCCATCAACTCCGCTGGACCAGGCACATTGTCTGGATGCCCGACCACCGTCTCCCAAAGCAGTTGCTCTACTCCGAACTCAATAATGGAAAACAGAATGTTGGTGGACAGGAAAAGAGATTTAAAGATGGCCTCAAAGCCAACCTTCAAAACTCTGGCATAGACATTGAGAACTGGGAAGCCCTGGCTCTTGAGTGCTTCGGTTGGAAGTCAGCTGTGACCAGCAGTGCTGTAGAATTTGAAGAGGCACAGATGGAGGGCGAAAGAGAGAAATGTGCCAAGAGAAAGGCGCGTCAAACCAACCCCATCCGAGACCGCCTTCCACCTGGAAACCAATGCCCTCACTGCGGGAGAACATGCAGGTCAAGAATCGGGCTCCAGAGTCACCTACGGACCCACCCTGGACGATTGTCCTACTTGGACAATGAGGGATCGCCTAAGTAAGTAAGTAAGTAAGTAAGTAAGTTCCATCAATATCCCTTCCATCTGTCCCTTCTGTCTATCACTTCAACTGGAATTTTTCTGTTTTCTGAGGGCCACAGCAATGCGTGGCAGGGTACAGCTAGTAAGTAAGGATGCACCTCAAGTCTCTGGAGCATCAGTAAACAACCTGGCTTTATCTTTTGCACGAAATTCCCTTCAGCTATTGAAATACACCTACATGGGAGTTTTTGGGGGGTTTTTTTTGCATTGAATTCCTTTGTTTTGCTGGTTTAGGTTAAAGCCCATGGGCTTATTTATGTTCTATTTGTTGGATTTAAGTTGCATTTTTTGATCCTCCTTTAATAAAAAAATGTATTTACATTGGAAAGCAATGCTTTTCGCCCTGGAGTCCTTACTCACCCGTGATGCTCCCCAGAAGGAAGGTCAAGGCAGCCGCTCCCGAAAGCCAAAGTGGCCCCATTCAGTGCCCAAATCCCTCATAGACGTGGGTCAGGAATCAATACTGAAATGGGGATTTTGTGGCAGGAGAAGGGAAGTCTTAGGTCGAGAACAAAACCAATTCCTTCGGCAATAAAAAGAAAGAGCATTTCCTCCTCTTGCGGTTTTGGGTGAGTTTATAAATAGCTCTTCCGGCTGGGAATCTCCCACTTCAATGCTTCTTTATGGAAGGAGGAGTCAACTCTATAAAGGGTGTTGACGCCAAAAAGTTCAATCAGATTGGGCCTCCAACGGCTGTGCAAATACAAGGACGGATGAAGCTGGAGGGAGAGGGAAAAAACACATTTCCAAAGAGGCCAAAGAATCTTAGAGAGAAGGCTGATAGTTGTATTGTCAAAGGCTTTCATGGCCCAAATCACTGGGTTGCTGTATGTGCTGTATGGCCATGTTCCAGATGCATTCTCTCCTGACATTTGTCCCACATCAGTGGCAGTGTGCTGGTACGTCTGTACCAGGAGCTCCAACTTCATTTTCTTTCTATATTAAATGTTTGCATGCATTCCAAAGTTTCAGGGATTCTGCAAAAAGGTGGCTTCCTTTGGTTTGCAGTCATAGGGCAAGCCACCTGTCTATCATTGTTAAGTTTGGATCTACCCCTTCTCCCAGGGAGATAGGAAGGGAAGAGGGGGCCATTTTTAGTTAGTCTTAGTGAGGAAAGCTAAGATAGAGGACGTGGACAAACTTCACCTTAAGAAAAGCTTCATTTCTCAAGACATTCCGGGGGGAAAATTCCCAAAGCTCTGGCTTGGAGCTTGCAGCCTCTCAGCCTTACAGCATCTGAGGGAAACAGCCCTAAAGTCTTAAAGAAATTCCAGAGGGAAAACAGCTTTACAGACCCAAAGAACTTCAGCTGGAGAATCTCCAAGCTTTGTCTGGTAGGTTTACTCGGTATCAAGACACAGTTTGGAATCGGTAGTAGATCCCACACCAACAAAACAGATAACAGACAGCCTGGGAGAGGTTAAAAAAGGGTTTTCCTCTCAAAGTATAAGAACAGTTAATGAAGACAGTTGCCTGTCCCTTGTGGACAAGATTAAGGAAGCCACCAGTCGATTTAAAGCACTGAAGCATTTGTTTGACTCATTGAAGATTTGAGAAATATCTGTTTAATTTGTTCAATAATAAAGGACTTTGTTTAACTTTTCAAGCCATCTAAAGACCATTTCTACAGGAAAATCCTTGAGGGCCTCTTTCGTGGCGCCCTGGCTTCCCGCTGGGCACAAGGTGCACGTCCTATTTCAAAGGATAATTATCTGTATCCGTTACTCTGTGTTTGTGAACGCTTGTTCAAACAGCCACGTTTTGAGTTGCTTCCAAAACGTTAAAAGGGAGGGAGCAGATCTAATCTCTCTGGGGAGGGCGTTCCATAGCCGGGAGGCTACCGCAGAGAAGGCCCTGTCTCTCGTCCCCGCCAAACGTACCTGGGACAAGAGTGGGGCTGAGAGCAGAGCCTCTCTGGATGATCTCAAGGTCCTAGATGGTTCATAAGGGGAGATACGTTCAGACAGGTAAGTTGAGCCAGAACCGTTTGGCTCCCTCTCCTCCCCAGATCATTGGGGAATGGGGCAGAACCAAACACAACAATGATAGATAGGTGGCTAGCCCTATAACTGCAAACCAAGGGAAGTCACCTTTTTGCAAAACTCCTGAAACCTTGGAATGCATGCAAACATTAAATAGAAAGAAAATGAAGTTGGAGCTCCTGGTACATCCATACCAGCACAGTGACCCCTTAATCCAGTCCCTCAGGTTGTGGTGACCCCCAACCATCACATTATTTTCAATGCTACTTCATAACTGTATTTTGCTACTGTTATGAATTGTCATGTAAATATCTGATATGCAGGATGTATATTCATTCACTGGACCACATTTGGCACCAATACTCGATACGCCCTAATTTGAATACTGGTGGGGTTGGGGAGGAGGATAGATTTTGTCATTTGGGAGTTGTAGTTGCTGGGATTTATAGTTCACCTACAATCCAAGAGCATTCTGAACCCCACCAACGATGGAATTGAACCAAACTTGGCACGCAGAACTCCCAAAACCAACAGAAAATGTCAAAAGGGTTTGGTGGGCATTGGCCTTGAGTTTTGGAGTTGTAGTCCACCTTCATCTGGAGAGCACTGTGGACTCAGACAAGGACGGATCTGGACCAAACTTGGCACGGATACTCAATACACTTGGGAGTTGTAGTTGTTGGGATTTATAACATTTATTTATTTATTTATATAAATGCTCTTTTCGTTTTGAGTGACATCTCAAAATCTGCTGGATGAATTGCTGCCAAATCTGGCCACTAGACACCTACTAACCCAAGATGTGACCATCACTTTAAAAACTTTGATTTTGTCATTGGGGAGTTGTAGTTGTTGGGATTTATAGTTCACCTACAAACAAAGAACATTCTGAACTCCACCAACGATGGAATTGAACCAAACTAAACACACTTAACTCCCATGATCAATAGAAAATACTGGAAGGGTTTGGTGGGCATTGATCTTGACTTTTGGAGTTGTAGTTCACCTACAAAGAACATTCTGAACTCCACCAATGATGGAATTGAATCAAATTTGGCACACAGAATTCCCATGACCAAAAGAAAATACTGGGAGGGTCTGGTGGTCACTGACCTTGAGTTTTTGGAGTTGTAGCTCACCTACACCCAGAGAATACTGTGGACTCAAACAATGGTGGATCTGGACCAAACTTGGCACAAATACTCAACATGCCCAAATGTGAACATTTGGTGGAGTTTGGGGAAAATAGACCTTGACACTTGGGAGTTGTAGTTTCTGGGATGTATAGTTCACCTACAATATCAAAGAGCATTCTGAACACCACCACCGACTGAATTGAACCAAACTTAGCACACAGAACTCCCATAACTAACAGAAACTATGGGAAGGGTTTGGTGGGCATTGACCTTGAGTTTTGGAGTTGTAGTTCACCTCCATCCAGAGAGCACTGTAGACTCAAACAATGATGGATCTGAACCAAACTTGGCACAAACACTCAATATGCCCAAATGTGAACACTGGTGGAGTTTGGGGGAAATAGACCTTGACACTTGGGAGTTGTAGTTGCTGGGATTTATAGTTCACCTACAATCAAAGAGCATTCTGAACCCCACCAACAATGGAATTAAACCAATATTGCTACGCAGAACTCTCCTGACTAACAGAAAATATTGGAGAAATTTGGGATGAATTGACAGTGATTATGGGGAGATGTAGTTCACTTAGATCCAGAGAGCACTGTTAACCCAAACGATTAAGCCAAAGGGGTTTCTAAAGCCATCAAAAATATGTGTTTTCTGATGGTCTTTGGCGACCCCTCTGAAACCTCCTCTCAGCCCCCACCCAGGGTCCCGACCCCCAGGTTGAGAAACACCGACTTATAGGCATTCGTGCCATGTTCAAAACTGTGGCCATTTCCAGATTTAAATTATGGAAAAGTTTAATGAAGTGCATTAAATGCCGTAACAGATAAAATCTGCTTTATAAGGAACAGTAACAGAGTCTCACGGCTTGCAGGAAGACTTAGATCCAACTCATACAAAAGCCCAAAATAAGATTAAACATATAAATACAGTCAAAAGAGGAGGGGGGGGGCACGACAATTCGTAATGTTCAGCAAGGTTACAAAAGAAAGGCACACCTGAGCATGAATTACAAAGAAACATCCCTTTCGAAAGTAGCTGTATCTGTGGACTTGTGAGGCGCAACCGCCTATTCAAAATTGTTAGAACACGTTAAAAAAATCAGTTGGTGTGTGTATGTTAACTTAAAATGCAAAACACAAAGCTGATTGGTTGAATCATGCCCAACAAAACTAGCTGAGCCTGGGAATTTGGGCAACAGTTACATTTTTTCCAGGTTTTAGCTGTTCAGAAGCGTGCAGACAGATTTTTTTTTTTTTTTTTGCTTCTGGACTGCTGGAAGGAGGTTTTTCCACATGGACACCTAAAGGCCATTTGAACCTTTCTCAAAGGACATTGTTTAATGTATTGTTGAAGGCTTTCATGGCTGGAATCACTGGGTTGTTGTAGGTTTTTTCGGGCTATATGGCCATGTTCAAGAAGCATTCCCTCCTGACGTTTCGCCTGCATCTATGGCAAGCATCCTCAGAGGTAGTGAGGTCTGTTGGAACTAGGAAAGCGGGTTTATATATCTGTGGAATGACCAGGGTGGGACAAAGGACTCTTGTCTGCTGGAGCTAGGTGTGAATGTTTCAACTGACCACCTCTGAGGATGCTTGCCATAGATGCAGGTGAAACATCGGGAGAGAATGCTTCTTGGTGAGTCTGTAGATAGTTGCCCCAGGCACTGCCAGGCCATCAAATGCTAACCAAGGTCCTGTCGTGTCAGGAGCGACTTGAGAAACTGCAAGTCGCTTCTGGTGTGAGAGAATTGGCCGTCTGCAAGAACGTTGCCCAGGGGACACCCGGATGATTTGATGTTTTTTATCACCCTTGTGGGAGGCTTCTCTCATGTCCCTGCATGAGGAGCTGGAGCTGATAGAGGGAGCTCATCCGCCTCTCCCCGGATTTGAACCTGCGACCTGTCGGTCTTCAGTCCTGCCAGCACAGGGGTTTAACCCACTGCGCCACTGGGGGCTCCACTAATCAAGGTGATCAGTTGAAACATTCACACCTAGCTCCAGCAGACAAGAGTCCTTTTCCCCACCCTGGTCCTTCCACATATATATAAACCCATTTTCCTAGTTCCAACAGACCTCACAACCTCTGAGGATGCTTGCCATAGATGCAGGCAGAACATCAGGAGAGAATGCCTCTAGACCATGGCCATATAGCCCGAAAAAACCTACAACAACCCAGACATGGTTTAAGTCAGTGCAATCGTTCACATGAATGTATATGTGTTGCTCTTTTTGTTCTTTACTGATCATCTGCTTGCCGTATCTTTTCTCTGGCAAGACAATGTGAGGACCAAAATAACCAGTTTCGGCCCCAAATCCACCAGAAAGCAGTTTCCCTGTTGATCCCGAAGGTCTTCTTCAAGTCAGAGACTGGGAAAGAATGCCCAGAATTAGGAACGGGGAGAGTAGGGAGTAACATTGTAGTAAGTAACAGACTGGGATTCAAATGCCGATGGAAGGAGCTGCAGAGGAACGTGGACGATCCCTGGATGAGTCCCTTTGGCTCTTCTTCTTCTCATGGACTTTGAGGCCTAGGAGGCTGCGGAAAGGAAGAGATGGATGGTTTGGGAACAGAAGAGAATGAAGCCAACTGGGTGTCATGAGTCTCAACCATTAAACACAAAGTACAGTAGAGTCTCGCTTATCTGACCTTCGCTTATCCGACATTCTGTCTCATCCGACGGTCTTATCCGATGCTCCCCTTTTCCTCCAGAATTTCCCCTTCAATTAAAGGAGTGCTCCCCAACTCTTTCAAGACAAGAAGGAAGAGGAGGGAGGAAAGGGGGAAAAGAGGCAGGACCGGAACCAGAAGCGTCCTCCCTCCTTCCCTGTGTGATTTCCATGCTCCTCTTCTGCATCTGGGCACTTCCTGCTGGGTCACCCTAGACCAGGGGCGTTGGTTTGTCTTAACTCTTTGAGCACATAGAAGATGGCTTTGAAAGGAAGCAGATCACAGGAGCTGTCTTCATAGACCTGTCAGCAGCCTATGATACTGTGAACCACCGCTGCCTCCTCCTGAGAAAAATGTATAATATCACAAAGGACGACCACCTCACCTGCCTCATAGGAAACCTGGTACAAAACAGGAGCTTCTTTGTTGAGTTCCAGGGCCAGAGAAGTAGATAGGAAACAGATAGGGCCAGAGAAGTAGATAGGAAGTAGGCGGAAACAGAAGAACGGCCTGCCTCAGGGGAGCGTGCTCGCTCCATCCATGTTCAACATCTACACAAATGACCAGCCACTGCCAGAAGGGACAGAGAGCTTCATCTATGCTGATGATCATGCCATTACTGCTCAAGCAGGGAGCTTTGAGATGGTAGAACAGAAGCTCTCCGAAGCTCTAGGTGCCCTTACTGCCCACTACAGGGAAAACCAGCTGATCCTTAACCCATCTAAAACACAGACATGTGCTATTCATCTCAAGAACAGACAAGCATCCTGAGCTCTGAGGATTATTACCTGGGAAGGAAGGAATCCCACTGGAGCGTTGGAGCGCACCCAAATCCCTGGGAGTCACTCTGGACCGTGCTCTGACCTACAAGAACCACTGCCTGAACATCAAGCAAAAAGTGGGCGCTAGAAACAACATCATACGAAAGCTGACTGGCACAACCTGGGGATCACAACCAAACACAGTGAAGACATCTGCCCTTGCGCTATGCTACTCTGCTGCTGAGTATGCATGCCCAGTGTGGAACACATCTCACCACGCTAAAACAGTGGATGTGGCTCTTAATAAGACATGCTGCATTATCTGAGAAGGCTGAGAGGAGATATGATAGCCATGTATAAATATGTGAGAGGAAGCCACAGGGAGGAGGAGGAAGCAAGCTTGTTTTCTGCTTCCTTGGAGACTAGGACACAGTGGAACAATGGCTTCAAACTACAAGAGAGGAGATTCCATCTGAACATTAGGAAGAACTTCCTGACTGTGAGAGCCATTCAGCAGTGGGACTCTCTGCCCCGGAGTGTGGTGGAGGCTCCTTCTTTGGAAGCTTTTAAGCAGAGGCTGGATGGCCATCTGTCAGGGGTGATTTGAATGCAATATTCCTGCTTCTTGGCAGGGGGTTGGACTGGATGGCCCATGAGGTCTCTTCCAACTCTTTGATTCTATGATTCTATGATTCTATGATTCTATGATTCTATGATTCTATGATCTCGGGGTGTCTGCGCCCTACACCACTGGAGAAATTACACTGTCTAGCGGGTACTGCACCACCTGACATCCGCCAGGAAGTAGCAGCCAATAGTGAAAGGACCAAGGCAGAGACATCTCCAGCTCATCCCCTGTTTGGGTATCAGCCAGCACGTCAACGACTTAAATCAAGAAATAGTTTTCTAAGATCTACAGAGACACTCGCTGGAACACCTCAGCAAGTGAGAGTCCAAATGTGGCAGGCTCAAACCCAGAACCTCAACCAATGGCTGATTCCTAATGAGAGACTCCCCCCTGTGCACACAGAGGACTGGGCGACTTGGAAGGCACTGAACAGACTGCGCTCTGGCACCACGAGATGCAGAGCCAACCTTCAGAAATGGGCCACAAAGTGGAATCCACGACACACAAGTGGGGAGAAGAGCAAACCACTGACCACCTTCTGCAATGCACCCTGAGCCCTGCCACATGCACCAGGGAGGACCTCCTTGCAGCAACACCAGAGGCACTCCAAGTGGCCAGATACTGGTCAAAGGACATTTAATCAACTACCAAACTACCAAACTCACAAATGTTGTACTTTGTCTTTGCTTTGTTCTGTTAGAAATGTAATATAATTGACTGGTTGCCCTGACACGACAAAGTGCCAAAACTCAGGGGAACAAGCAGGAGTGAAAGCTAAATATCCAGACCTGAGTCAAGAACCAGTTTCCAGAAATCCAAGCAACAAGGTTGAGCTCAGAAGTCCAGAGCCGATGTCAGAGTCCAGATTCCAAATGAGAGTTCACAGTTCTAATGTCTTGGCATGGATACTGGGCCAGTCCTAAACGGTGCCGGCCCAGTTTATCTGTCCGAATGTATCTCCCTCTACGAACCTCCAAGGACGCTAAGGTCATCTGGGAAGGCCCTGCTCTCAGTCCCACCACCATTGCAGGTGCAACTAGTGGGGACGAGAGACTGGGCCTTCTCCGTGGTGGCTCCTCAGCTGTGAAACTCCATCTCCAACAACATCAGATCAGCCCCATCCCTCCTGACCTTTCGAAAAAAACTTAAAACCTGGCTATGGGGTCAAGTCTTTGAGTGATAAGTTGGAATAATCTGGGAAGAAAATGTTTTAAGTAGGCAAAAGAAGGTCTCCTTAGAGCTGAAGAAGGGAGAAAGTTGGTCTCAGGGAGAAAGGAGAAAGCAGGCCTTCCCAGTGATGGAGATGAGGAAAAGGAGGCCTTTTCAGAGCTGGTGAAGGAAGAAAGCAGGCCTTCTCTGAGCTAGAGGAGAAATTAGGCCTTTTCAGAGCTGGAGAAGGGAGAAAGTAGGAGCGACATACAGGGAACATACCACCCCCCTGTTATGCCAGCTCCACTGGCTGCCGATTCAGTTCCGAGCACAATTCAAAGTGCTGGTTTTGACCTACAAAACCCTATACGGTTCCGGTCCAGTGTATCTGTCCGAACGTATCTCCCTCTATGTCCCACCTCGGAGTCTGAGATCATCCGGGGAGGCCCTGCTCTCGACCCCACCACTATCACAAGTGAGACTGGTGGGGACGAGGGGCAGGGCTTTCTCGGTGGTGGCCCCCCGCCTGTGGAACTCACTCCCGGGGGAGATTAGGGCATCATCATCCCTCCTCGCCTTCAGGAGGAGGGTGAAAACTTGGTTATGGGACCAGGCCTTTGGGCACTCTGGCAATTAAATCAGTCAATTAGGCAAGCAAGACCGGCAGGATGGATGAATGGAATGAAAATCTAGATCTAGGTGTTAACAAACACTGACCATGTAAGAGGAAAAATTGGGTTTGTATTTGGTTTTAATGTTTTTATTGATTTTATGGTTATATTGCATGTATATTATCCGTGAATTGTTGTAATTTTTATGTAATTTTGTGTATGATTGTTTATGACGCAGGCATCAAATTGTGCCTTGCTCCTGTAAGCCGCCCTGAGTCCCCTTCGGGGTGAGAAGGGCGGGGTATAAGAACCCCAAATAAATAAATAAATAATAAATAATAGAGCTGGAGAAGGGAGAAAGTTTGTCTCCTCAGGGAGAAAGGACAAAGCAAGCCTTCCCAGAGATGGAGAAGAGAAAAAGGAGGTCTTTTCAGAGCTGGAGAAGGGAAAAAGCAGACCTTCTCTGAGGTGGAAGATAAATTAGGCCTTTTCAGAGCTGGAGAAGGGAGAAAATAGGTCTCTTTAGAGCTGGAGAAGGAAGAAAGGAGAAAGCAAGCATTCCCTGAGATGGAGAAGAAGAAAGGAGGTCTTTTCAGAGCTGGAGAAGGGAGAAAGCAGACCTTCACTGAGGTGGAAGATAAATTAGGAATTTTCAGAGCTGGAGAAGGGAGACAGTAGGTCTCTTAAGAGCTGGAGAAGGAAGGAAAGAGAAAGCAAGCCTTCCCAGAGATGGAGAAGAGGAAAAGGAGGCCTTTTCAGAGCTGGAGAAGGGAGAAAGCAGACCTTCTCTGAGGTGGGAGGAGAAATTAGGCCTTTTCAGAGTTGGAGAAGGGCGAAAGTAGGTCTCTTTAAAGCTGGAGAAGGAAGAAAGGAGAAAGCAAGCCTTCGCAGAAATGGAGAAGAGGAAAAAGAGGTCTTTTCAGAGCTGGAGAAGGGAGAAAGCAGACCTTCTCTGAGGTGGGAGGAGAAATTAGGCCTTTTTAGAGCTAGTGGAGGGAGAAAGTAGGTCTCTTTAGAGCTGGAGAAAGAAGAAAGGAGAAAGCAAGTCTTTTCAGAGCTAGTGGAGGGAGAAAGTAGGTCTCTTTAGAGCTGGAGAAGGAAGAAAGGAGAAAGCAAGTCTTTTCAGAGCTAGTGGAGGGAGAAAGTAGGTCTCTTTAGAGCTGAAGAAGGGAGAAAATTGGTCTCCTCAGGGAGAAAGGAGAAAGCAGGCCTTCCCAGAGGTGGAGAAGAGAGAAAGCAGATAGGCAGTGACCCCTCCGATGCCTGGGCAATGCCAAATATATATGCTCGTATTTATTATATTTACTCACTTGCTGTTGCTCTGTATCCGTCACGCCATCTTTCTGCAAGGAGAAGGAGAAAGTCAGACCTGAAACATTTTCTCTGTCTCTGCTTTGAATCGCAGTCATTAATGGGGCATCAGTGCAGTTTGAGCCCACTTGAACTCCGTCCTATGGAATTATGGGAGTTGCAGTTTGGTCAGGTCCAGCTCTCTTGGGCAGAGAAGGCCAAGGACCCTTTGGCCCTCCGGGTATTTTGGATTCCAACTCCCACAATTCATCTATAATCAAAGAGCATTCTGAACTCCACCAATGATGGAATTGAACCAAACTTTGCACACAGGACTCCCTTGACCAGCTGAAAATACTGGAAGGGTTTGGTGGGCATTGACCTTGGGTTTGGGAGTTGTAGTTCACCTACATCCAGAGAGCGCTGTGGACTCCAACAATGATAGATCTGGACCAAACTTGTGAACACTGGCGGAGTTTGGGGAAAATAGACTTTGACATTTGGGAGTTGTAGTTGCTGGGGGATTTCACTTGTATTTTTTTTTGAAAACTAATAAAATGTTTTAATATAATTTTTATTAATAATAGTGATAATAATCGTTGAAACACACAAGAAGAAGGACAATTTCAACAGAAAGTGAACGAAATCCCGCCACCAGTATTTAAAAAACTCTAAAATCTGGACAGTAAATAAAGAGCAACACTTAAAAACAGAGGACATCCAGACAAGAAACAATCAGGGCCATCTTTCAACTCCCAACAAAGGATTCCCCCAGGCAGTAACAAGCCAAACCATGAAACTGCTAAACCATTAAATGCTAATCAACCAGACAAAGGAGAAGCAGGAATTTCTCAATGGGATTGTGAGTCTACTTACTGAGGTAGAGGACGAGTACGACTCCAAGGAGGATGACAACAGCCACGGCCCCCGAGATGCCGGCCATGAGGGGCCATAGGACACCTGAAATGGGACATACAGGTAAGACACGGGCCCCACATCATCTTCTGAATTATTTAAAGAGAGGTTGAGGGCATCACCATTCACTTACCAGCCTCCTCCCATGTTGCGTCCAGAGGTTCTGGGAGGCTATCATGCTCCACATGGCACCGGTACAGGTCCCGATCCTTGGTGTCGACCTCGATACTCAGCCAGGTGTGGTAGGTGCCGTCGGCATTGGGAGCAACGCCCCCGCGGCGGGTCTCCTAATAATAATAAATAATACCATATTTTTTCCATTATAAGACGCCATCGCCTGGAAAGTGTGCCGTCATTTCAGTTCCACCACCGCCAAGATATACCTGCGATTCGAATGGCTACCCCATCTTTAGAGGTGTTTATCTAGGACAAAAATGGGGGTTTTAGAACTGAATGCCGTAATAATAAATTATATTTGTCATGGATTTGTTGTGGCGAGACGCAGGGTACAACACAGTTAAAATTAGTGCGTACAAAAGGTGAAGTATGTCTGTATTTATGTATTTTTGTACCACAAAGGCTATTGCTAGGTGAAGTGGCCCTCTGTGATGTCACTGGAAAAGAAAAGAGACATGTTTGAGGGAAGGAATAGAAAAAAGTATGAAAAGAAAGGAAAAGAGAAGGAAGAGAAGGGAAAAGAAAGGGGGGAAAGGATGAGAGGGAGGGATGATAAGAGAAAGGAAGGGAAGGAAGAAGGGGTGGAGGGAGGGAGGGAAGAGAGAAAAAACAAGAGATGGAAAAGTTGTGTGCATGTGTGTGTGCGTGTGTGTGTGTGTGTGTGTGTGTGTGTGTGTATCCTTAGTTCCAGTCTTGATGATTTGGATGTAGACAATGGTGATGAAAGAATTTCTAACCAGCCAGAAGAGAAGAAGAGAGAGAAGGGAAGGAAAGGGAAGGAAAAGAGAGAGGTAAGGGGAAGGAGAGAGGGAAGGGAAGGAGAGAGGGAAGGGAAGTGGAGAGGGGAGGGAAAGAGGGAGGGAAGGGAAAGGAAAGGAAAGAGAGGGAAGGAAGGAAAGAATGAAGGGAAAAGAGAGGGAAGGGAAGGAAGAAAGGAAGAAGGGAATCGTAATTAATTAATTGTAATGTAGGTGCAGTGGTGAGAGGTAAGGTCAATGGGGATGGGCATGTGTGATTTAAAAATTAAAGTAAAGTAAAGTATTAATTAATTGTACCTGAAATGGAAGAAACGAGAGAGTGGAAAAGAATGGATGTTGGAGGAAAGAAGGTAAGATGAAGGAGAGAGAGAATAATGTTTAATTAATTAATGTAAAGTAGTGTAATTAAAATATTATTTGAATTTTTTATTTTTATATATGTAATTACTATTTAAATTTATTGTATGGAAATTTTACTTGTCATATGAGTTAATTTTATTTTATTATTTGAAATGGAAGCTTCAAAGTGAGAATTTAAAATTAAATCTTGGTCATGCATGAATTGCAGTATAGATATTATTTAAATTAAGTAATTTAATAATATATATTTATTGTTATGAGTTTTATTATATTGTTATGTATTATTTGCCAATGTCCTCCACAAACTCCATACTTTAATTAAATATTCAATTGATCTTATATATAAATGCTATTAAATATTCAATTTAATTATATTCAATTCAATTTAATTTTCAAATCATTTTATATTTAATAAATTTAATTTAATATTCAATTGATTTTATATTAAAATTATATTTAATATTACATGCAATTACATTTAATTTAATTTAACATTTAATTTATTTTATATTTCAATTATATTTCATATTCAATTAAATTATATTTAATTAAATTAATTTAATTTAATATTAAATTTATTTTATATTTCAATTATATTTCATATTCAATTAAATTATATTTAATTAAATTAATTTAATTTAATATTAAATTGATCGACATATAAATGCTATTTAATATTTAATTTAATTATATTCAATTTAATTTACTTTTCAAATTATTTTATATTGAATAAATTTAATTTAATATGCAATTGACTTTATATTTAATTTACAAATAATTAATTAAAATATTAATTGATTTATTAAAATTTCTATTAAATTTATTTAAAATTAATTTAATTAACATATTTATTAATATATTATATAGTATTTATATTAATTTAAATATTTAGGAAAGAGGAAGAGAAGAGATGGTGTTTGAGGAAAATGGAGGAAGGACACAAAGAGCCACAAAGAGATCAATGTCAAAGAGAGTTGCTAGGGGGTTCCCATGGAGATCGTGTGAAAGACCTTCTTCTTAGAGCTGGAGAAGGGAGAAAGTAGGGTGACAGTGGTCCCAATGACAACTACACAATGCTGGGTAGTATCCAGATAAAATGTAACACCATTAAAAAGACCTAGAACAACAATGAAAAGGCCAGAACCTGTTCCATGACGTTCCCCTCCATCCTCCAGGTGATGTCGATCTCCTTTGGGTAGAAGCCATGGGCCCGACACAGAAGGGTCTCCAGGTCTCCGTAGCTGGCCTTTCGCATCACCTTCACCACTGGAGGCTCTGGGAAAAGAGACCCACAGAGTTGTCCCCAAGGACAATCCGGTCCAACCCTTCCTACCAGCCAATTAAAGCCCTCCCGACAGATGGACTTATTTCTAAACCTCCAAAGGAGGAGATATTTCAACGTGGCTCTCGTGTGCCCTTCTCTTCGCCAAGATAAACACCCTCAGTTCCTTCATCTGGTCCTCACAGGGATTCATGCACACTGATTCCTTTAGTGTTGTCCTTTCAAAGCTCTGGTCCAGTAGGCGAAAGAGAGGAGGGCAAAACGGAGGGAAAGGAGGAGAGAGAGAAGGAGGGAGGAGAAAAACCGCGAGACAGAGAGTCCGCAAAAAGCGAACCGCAAGTAGCGAGGGAACACTTTAGATAGCAAAACAATCCCCACAGAGGTGTTAACCCTTCATATATATGTGTGTGTGTTCCAACTTACATACAAATTCAACTTAAGAACAGACCTACAGAACGTCTCTTGTTCATAACTTGGGTGCTCCCTGTATTAAGGCTTGTATGAGCTCCCCTTCCTTTCTCGGTTCCTCACCTTTCCGGAGCAGCGTCTCCTTCCCATAATTGAGGTACTTGTGCAGCCAATCAATGCAGTCCTCCTCCAGGAAGGTCTTGCGCCCCTGGGTCCAGACGCGGTCCGCCTCCCACTTCCGCTTGGTCACCTGGGCCTTGGGGTTGGAGGCCGTCCAGGTGAGGGTCTCCTTGTCCAGGCTGAGGAAGTCCCTCCCGTCATAGCCGAACTGGGAGAGGCCCCCTTTGCGGCCATCTGCACTCACTTCGCAGCCATGCATCCACTGCCAGGTGTGATGCCCTGGAGGAATGATAAAAACATAATAATAATAATAATAATAATAATAATAATAATAATAATAACAGCAACAATAATATTTATTTATACCCCGCCACCATCTCCCCAAAGGGACACGGGGTGGCAAACATGAGGCCAAGCCCAAAAATTATAATAAGGCAAAATAAAATACAGGGTTAGTCAAAATGAATAGGCCAATAGGAAAATTAATTTTAGACGAATGTATGTTTATTGTAACCAAACTACAGCTACGCATCGACAGATAAACTATCAAAGTTTTGTCTCACCTTCAGAGATGTTCGATATGGGCGCCCCGTGTGACACGGCAGATGTCCAAGCGATAGTCCAGTTCATTCCACATCCGTTGCAGCACATCCGACGTAATGGCATCGAATGCAGCTGTGTCTTCGGAGACACGTGGTCGTCCTGTGGTTTTACCCTTGCATAAGCAGCCCGTCTCCTCAAATTGCTTTACCCACCTCGCAATGGAATGTCGATGAGGTGGTTCCTTGCCATACTTGGCTCGAAATTCTCGCTGGACCGTAATTACTGACATTGTTTTAGCAAATGTCATCACACAAAACGCCTTCTCTTTGCTTGATTCCGCCATTTTGAAAACAGCGACCCCTAGCGACGTCTAGCGGCATTAACGTACATGTGTGTTGCTCAAAAAAAACTTTGATAGTTTATCTGTCGCTACGTAGCTGTGGTTTGGTTACAGTAAACATACATTGGTCTAAAATTAATTTTCTTATTGGCCTATTCATTTTGACTAACCCTGTACATACAATAGATAATAACAGCAAATAAAATACATTATTTATATTTATTTATTTATTTATTTATTTATTTCCTATATTTATACCCTGCCCTTCTCCTCCCGAAGGGGAGCATCATACAACGCTAGCATCATAAAAACAACTACAGTACAATCAAAAAATTAAAAATTAAAACAATTAATTAAGACTCATCCATTAAAATCTAAATCCAAAAACCAGTCAGGGTCAATAATAACACAAATATAATATGATAAAGGGATTCAACAACGCGAGCTGGGCCAAATGCAAAGGATAAAATTATAAAACCCCTGGGTGAGATAAATGAAATAGTGTTTCTAGTGGGAGACGCGTGTGGGATAAACAATGGGATTAATCTTCACTGAGGGATGAAATGAAGTGCATCAGAGGGACAATTTGTACTGGGACGGGCATGGTATGGGGATTTGTTATTCATTCCTCAAAAGCACACCTGAAGAGCCAAGTTTTTAAACTTCTCCTATACGTTGCCAGGGTGGGAGCTTGCCTAATCGCCCTGGGGAGCGAGTTCCAGAGCCAAGGGGCCACCACTGAGAAGGCCCTCTCCCTCATCCCTGCGAGCTGTGCTTGTGACGGAGGTGGGAGCGAGAGGAGGACCTCCCCGAAGATCGAAGGGATCACGCAGGTTTGTAGGATGGGATGCGGTCACGAAGGTAGGCATGTCCCAAACTGTCCAGGGCTTTGTAGTGTTAGAGACCCTAAATTGGGATTGTGGCGCAGTTGGCTGAGTGTCAGCTGCATTAAGATCACTCTGACCAAAAGGTCATCAGTTCGAAGCCAGCCTGGGCTGGAGTGGGTGTCCAGCCATTGTGTAGCCTGTAGTCGACCTTTGCAACCCAAAAGACAGTTGCATCTGTCAAGTAGGAAAATAAGGTACCACCTTGTGTGGGAGGCTAAATTAACTAATTTATGAGGCCATAAAGAAAACTCCAGGATGTGGAATACAGAAGAACTTCACCGGTGTTGCTGATGGACGATGAAAGCAGCAGCTCCCCTGGCAGCCAGAAAAACGTTACCGTATATTCCGGCATATAAGACGACTGGGCGTATAAGACGACCCCCAACTTTTCCAGTTAAAATATAGAGTTAATATAAAATATAGACTCCCATGCATAAGACTACACCTGTGTATAAGACGACCCCTGACTTTTGAAAAGATTTTCTTGGGTTAAAAAGTAGTCTTATACGCCAGAATATACTGTAAATATTTATTTATTTATTTATTTATTTCAAAGTTTTCTATACCGACCTTCTCACCTCATTGAGGGACTCAGCCCGGTTTCCAACCATAAAAACACATACAATCAGTAAAATATCATAGTTCACAATTACCGTAACACATTTAAAATAACAATATATTTAAAACTACAGTGGTCAGTCGTCATATTAAAATCAATATACATCATCTTCCATCCAAAATCCTAGGGTGTTGTCTCATCGAAAGCCTGTCTCCACAGCCATGCCTTCACCCGTTTCCTAAACGTCAGGATAGACGGGGCGGTTCTAACCTCCAGTGGGAGAGAGTTCCAGAGTCGCGGGGCCACCACCGAGAAGGCCCTGTCCCTCGTCCCCACCAGACGCGCCTGTGCGGCCGGTGGGACCGAGAGCAGGGCCTCTCCAGACGATCTTAATAATCTCGATGGTTCGTAAGGGAGAATACGTTCGGAGAGGTAAACAGGGCCGGAGTCGTTTAGGGCTTTATAGGTTAACGCCAGCACTTTGAATTGTGCTCGGAAGCTAATTGGCAGCCAATGGAGCTGGTGCAAGCAGTTTATGCCGTCGCGCCTATAGTTCTTAGTGAAAGAAACATGGACGTGGCATCTTTTCCCCAGGGGATTGCTTCTTGCCCTACTTTAGAGAACTGGAACTCTCAAGGATCAAGACACTATAGATAACTTGAAATAGTCTCTATTGTTCACAATGAGTTATCTTCCTTAGGCATAAACTTGATATTTAAAGGGGGTAAAGAAAACATACATTACAGTCTTTGGAGTCTTGGGTCCAAGGAGTTTTCCAGCTGAGAAGCTTTCCAAGTTCCCTCTTTCTTAATGGCTGTGAAAGTCGGAACATTCACAACCCCCGTCCAATAGCCTATATTGAAGGCACAAAGTCTTCCTCTTGATGCCAAAGGACTGGTTTGAAGGCGCTTAAGATTCCTCAACGTCGTCCAGGGTGAACTGGGCATGAAGCATGCATCTCAAGAGTACGAACTTAAGAATTGGTGATAAGAGATGACTGGACTGAGGGTTTTAGAGCCAAGCCTTTCTCCCGTCCATCTGTTGAGTTGCTTGATGGTGGAATGAAAAAGAAAGCACTGCCCTCCTCCCTAGGAAGGGGTGGAGTCAAGCAATTCAGCGGGGGGAGCAATTCAACCGATGCAAAACAACATTGATAGAAAGCTGTAGATAACCAAACAATTCAACTATAAATTTACATACAAGTGGGGTCAGACACGCCGTCACACAGTTCTTTTCTATATTTAGGTAAAATACCAAAAGCAACTCTCTCCAAGCCTTTCATGCAGAGCAGGGTGATCTGCTGACGCCCACCACCCATGCTTCCACTCACCACGGCTGTGGTTGAAGCGGGTCCAGAGGCTGACTCGGAAGTAGAGCTCCCAGCTCCGCGAGAGCTGCGTCTGCCAGTCCCAGTATTGGGCATCGTGTTCCTCCATTTTCTGGATCCAGGAGGACCGTGGCAGATCCCTCCTCGTCTCGCTGTCATAGCGAACGAACTGCTCATCATCCAAGTAGCCCACGATGCTGAAGTGGGGCAGCCCCCCGCCGGGCTCAGAAACCCCCGTGAAGAAATAATGCAAACGATGGCTCCGACCAGAAAGAGCTGGGGTGGGAGAAAAAGAGGGGGCGGACTTAGCAGGAACAACACAAGAATCACAACAATAATCAGACTGGAAGATCACGGGCAATCTCATGGCCCAAACACTACGTTCCTTAGGAGAAGTGAGTTTAGCCCTTGATAGGCACAGTTTACATTGATGAAAGACGCGGGGCCTTCTCAGTGGCTGCCCCTAGTCTATGAAACCCACCTCTATGAGCTTCCCAGGCCCAAGACGATCAGGACAGAGCCTTATCCCAGCCCTGCCACCTTTGAAGGGACATACAATGGGATGAAAGAGACGGGGCCTTCTCAGTGGCTGCCCCTAGTCTATGAAACCCACCTCTATGAGCTTCCCAGGTCGGGTCCCCTGGATTAGTTGCGAGGGGGGTACGAGAGGGGTCATCAAAGACCATCAGGAAACACAGTATTTTCTGTTGGCCATGGGGGTCTCTGTGTAGGAAGTCTGGCTCAATTTTATCATTGTAGGTGAACGAAAATCCCAGTAACTACAATTCCCAAATGCCAAGGTCTATTTCCCCCAAACTCCATCTGTGTTCATAGTTCATAGGGCATATGGAGTATTCGTGCCAAGTTTGGTCTTGGTCCTTCATTGTTTGAGTCCGCAGTGCTCTCTGGATGTAGGTGAACTACAACTCCCAAACTCAAAGTAAATGCCCGCCAAACCCTTCCAGTATTTTCTGCTGGTCATGGGAGTTCTGTGTGCTAAGTTTGGTTCAATTCCACCGATGGTGGAGTTCAGAACGCTCTTTGATTGTAGGAGAACTATAAATCCCAGCAACTATAACTCCCAAATGTCAATGTCTATTTTCCCCAAATTCCACCAGTGCTCACATTTGGGCGTATTGAGTATCTGTGCCAAGTTTGGTCCAGATCCATCACTGTTTGAGTCCACAGTGTTCTCTGGATGTAGGTGAACTACAACTCCCATACTCAAGGTCAATGCCAATCAAACCCTTCCAGTATTTTCTCTTGGTTATGGGAGTCCTGTGTGCCAAGTTTGGTTCAATTCCATCATTGGTGGAGTTCTTTGATTGTAAATGTTCTTTGATTGTAAGTGAACTATAAATCCCAGCAACTACAACTCCCAAATGACAAAATGTTTTGAGTGATGGTCACACCTTGGGTTAGTAGGTGTGTGTGTGTGTGTGTGTGTGTGTATATATATATATATATATATATATATATATATATATGTATATGTATATGTATTATGTTACATTAATATATTATATATTATATAGAGAAAAGTGGTATACAAATACTGTAAATATATATATATGTGTGTGTGTGTGTGTGTGTATACATATACATACATACAGACACACATATGTGTGTGTGTATATGTAATTTTATATTGTATATATATATATAATGTATTATGTTACATTAATATATTATATATTATATAGAGGAAAGTGGTATACAAATACTGTAAATATATGTGTGTGTGTGTGTGTATACATATACATACACACACACACACACACACACACACATATATATATATTATTATTATTATTATTATTAACTTTATTTGTACCCCGCTAGCATCTCCCGTAGGACTCGATGCGGCTCACATAGGCCGAAGCCACAGACACAATACAATAAAACACAATACAACAACAAGCAAATTAAAAATAGTACGCAAAATAAACAACAACAATGACAATATCAGGACACTTTAAAACTGGGCTGGCCAGAGCAGTGGGTACAGAATTAAAAAGTGCTGAGTGGCAGGAAGGAATGTAGGGTTATAAAATGCGGTGTGCAGCAATCTAATACAACTAAAGTGCTTCAGGGCTTGGTGATGGGGATTCCTACTCTGAAAAGGCGCATCGGAATAGCCAGGTTTTTAAATTCTTCTTGAAGACAGCCAGAGTCGGGGCCTGTCTAAGGTCTTTTGGGAGGGTGTTCCAGAGTCGGGGGGCCACCACAGAAAAGGCTCTGTCTCGTGTCCCCACCAAACGCGCCTGAGACGCAGGTGGGAACACGAGCAGAGCCTCTCCAGATGAACGAAGTGATCGTGTGGGTTCATAGATGGAGATACGGTCGCGCAGGTAGGGTGGTCCCAAACCGTTTAGGGCTTTGTAGGTAAGCACCTGCACCTTGAATTGGGCTCGGAAAATGAACGGCAGCCAGTGGAGCTCCTTGAACAGGAGGGTTGACCTCTCTCTGTAAGGAGCCCCAGTTAACATCCTGGCCGCTGCCCGTTGGACAAGTTGGAATCTCCGAGCCGTTTTCAAGGGCAGCCCCACGTAGAGCGCATTACAGTAATCCAATCTAGAGGTGACCAAGGCATGGACCACCCCGGCCAGATCAGCCTTCGCGAGGTACGGTCGCAGCTGGCGCACGAGTCTTAGTTGTGCAAAAGCCCTCCCGGACACCGCCGACACCTGAGCCTCAAGTGTAAGCGATGAATCCAAGAGGACTCCCAAACTGCGGACCTGTGACTTCAGGGGGAGTGTAACCCCGTCCAGCACAGGTTGCCACCCTATACCCCGATCCGGTTTGCGATCGACCAGGAGGACCTCTGTCTTGTCGGGATTGATCTTCAGCTTGTTCCTCCTCATCCAGATAGACACAGCGGCCAGGCACTCGTCAGCACCCGAGAGGCCTCCTTGGAATTAGGTGGAAAAGAGTAGTAGAGTTGTGCGTCATCTGCGTAGAGATGGCACCCAACTCCAAAACTCCGGATGACCTCTCCCAGCGGTTTCATGTAGATGTTAAAAAGCATGGGAGACAGAATAGAGCCTTGCGGGACCCCACAGGTCAAAGGCCAGGAGTCCGAGCAGGCGTCTCCCAGCTTCACCATCTGGGTTCGTCCCTCCAGGAAGGACCGGAGCCACGACAGAACCGTGCCCCCGAGACCCATCCCAGAGAGTCGACCCAGAAGGATACCATGATCGATGGTATCGAAAGCCGCTGAGATGTCCAAGAGAACCAACAGAGTCACACTCCCCCTGTCCAGCTCTCTACGGAGGTCATCCACCAAGGCGACCAAGGCTGTCTCGGTGCCATGACCAGGCCTGAAACCAGACTGTGACTGATCTAGGTAATTGATGTCATCCAGGAAGTCCTGGAGTTGGAGGGCGACCACCCGCTCCAGCACCTTACCCAAAAAAGGGAGATTGGAGATCGGTCTGTAATTGCTCAGCACCGTAGAGTCAAGGGAAGGCTTCTTAAGGAGTGGGCGGACCACAGCCTGTTTTAAGCCGGATGGAAAAGTCCCTTGCTCCAACGATGCATTAATGATCAACACATATATAAGTCGTGTCTCCTTCTCCTATGGAATCATGGGGTTTGTAGTCTTACAAGGTCTTACAAGGTCTGACCAAAGTGTGTTGGAGAAATGCACATCATCCCAGGACTCCAAAGCAAGCAGCCATGCCAGTTCAAGGGGCATCAACCCGCATTAAGTGGACAGTGTAGATGCAACCCTGAACTCCCTGCATTCTTCCATAGACAACATTGCATCTTGCTGTGAGCCAGTCTGCTGGATTCTGCCCTTCCCAAAAAAAGCAACTTTTCCAAGCCTCCCCACTTTTCTGCAACCGGACCCATTCCAATGATCCCCTTCTCAGCCTGGATCCGGATTAAAACTCACCGGAGCATCCAAAGGGGGAAACTATAGCTCCCAAAAGGAGCGAAAACAACCCAGAAACAGGACTCATCCAGCCAGCCAAGACAGGAAACGCGGAAGGAAGCTGATTGGCCGGGGAGGACCTTTTTCAACCAATAGGATTAGAGCCGTCGGAATCGGTGACGTCAGTTGCTAGGCAGGCTTTGCCCGGGGATTTCTTAGAAGTCATGAGGCAGTTGCTCAATTCTGTATTTTCCAAATCTGTTTCTTCCTGTTAATAGATTGAATTCCTCGCTTGTGTCTTTCTTTCTTTTGCAGAGCTTGCTTACTTACTTAAATGCTAATCAAGCTGGCCAATTGCTACATTCACACCTATCTCCAACAGACAAGAGTTCTTTCTCCCACCCTGGACATTATTCCACAAGGATATTTAAAGCCCATTTTCCTAGTTTCCAACAGACCTCACAACCTCTGAGGATGCCTGCCATGGATGCAGGCGAAACGTCAGGAGAGAATGCTTCTGGAACATGGCCAGGCAGCCTGGAAAACACAAAACAACCCAGGGTCAAAATATCCTTGACCAAGAGCTGCCATTCAAAGTGACCTGAACAGGCAGGTGATCCCTGTCCCTTTCCACACATACACACACACATATATCATTAGGATGCCATGAGGAAGAGGGACTTTGCCTTCAGGCTTTGGGAGACTCCTTTCTCTGGGACTCCAACTCCCAGCATCCTCAACCCTGGTGCAAGGCCCTTCTGCAGGTATGATGGGAGTTGGAGTCCAAGGGAGGCATTCCCTCCACTGTGTGCAGCAAGGATTCCCAGGCCCCAGCCCTCCCCCTTCATCACTTCAACTCCCAGAAGCCTCAGCTGCCTTGAGCCAAGGTCGGGGATTCTGGGTGATGGAGTCCCAGGAGGGGGGAGGGGAGGGGGAGGGAGGCTCTGAGGAGGGAGGGAAGGAAAAAAGGAAGGAGGGAGGGGAGAGAAAGGGAAGGAGGCCAATAAAGCCTTTCCAGTATGAAAAAAACCTCTAAAATTACAACAGCACAACAAAAGAGAGGAAACAAACAAGGACATCTAATCACCTCTCAACAAAAGATTTCCCCAGGCACTGCCAGGCCATCAAATGCTAATCAAGGTGGTCAGTTGAAACATTCACACCTAGCTCCAGCAGACAAGAGTCCTTTGTCCCAACCCTGATCATTCCACAGATATATAAATCCTTTTTCCTAGTTCCAACAGAGCTCACTATCTCTGAGGATGCTTGCCATAGATGCAGGCGAAACGTCAGGAGAGAATGCCTCTCTAGACCATGGCCATATAGCCCGAAAACACCTACAACAACCCAAAGCCTTTCCAGTTATAGTCCTGTTTTAAGGTTGGCTTAAAAGCCAACCTTAAAATCTCTGGCATAGACACTGAGAACTGGGAAGCCCTGGCCCTTGAGCGCTCCAGCTGGAGGTCAGCTGTGACCAGCAGTGCTGCAGAATTCGAGGAGGCACGAGTGGAGGGTGAAAGAGAGAAATGTGCCAGGAGGAAGGCGCGTCAAGCCAACCCCGACCGGGACCGCCTTCCACCTGGAAACCAATGCCCTCACTGCGGAAGAAGATGCAGAGCAAGAATAGGGCTCCACAGCCACTACGGACCCACAAGGAAACCCATAATGGAAGACCATCTTACTCGTCCAACGAGGGATCGCCTAAGTAAGTAAGTATAGTCCTGTTCCTTTAACGCTAAGCCCCGCCTTCCTTGGGGCGCCTGCCCTGCGGCCGCCATCTTTAAGCCGGGCGGAAGTAGAGTGCTCGGGAGGGAGGCAGGAGGAAGTGGTCGGGAGGGGAGGAGGAGAAGGGTGACGCGCTTCCCTCTGAGCTCACTTCCGGAGGAGGGGGCAGCCACGCTGAGCGCCCACCTCCTGATGCGGCGCCATTCTTCCGGCCTCGTTATGGATCCCTTGAGGAAGAGCTCTGGTTGTTCGCCCCAGCTCCTGCCAACCTAGCAGTTTGAAAACATGCTGATGTGAGTAGATCAATAGGTACAGTTCTGGTGGGAAGGGAAGGGCACTCCATGCAGTCCTGCCAGTGGCCACATGACTTTGGAGGCGCCTACGGATTTTAAGGTTGAGACCAACACCTTCTGCTTTGCTTGGAAACTAATTGGCAGCCTGCCATTCCAAGTGAGCAGAACACCCTCAAGCCAGGGCAGGCAGGGCATCCCTGCTCCTTTCCACACACACATGTTTATGAAGGACTAGCTTTACCCGCCACGCGTTGCTGTGGCCAACCTTCCCTCCCTCTTTCTCTCCTTCCTTCCTTCCCTCTTTCCCCTCCCCCTCCTTCTTTCTTCCTTCTCTGATTCTTTTCTCGCTTCCTTTGCTCTTTGGTTCCACCCTTCCTTGTCTCTTTCCTTCATTCCTTCCTTCCCTCCTTCTTTCTCTCTTTCGTGACTTCTCTCCTTCCCTCTTTCATTTTTTTTATTTCATTCTCTCCTTCCTTCTTTCCTTCCCTACGATCTTTCCCTACCTCCTTCCTTCCTTCTCTACCCTTCCTTCCCTCTTTCCTTCCTTCCCTCTTTCCCCTCCCCCTCCTTCTTTCTTCCTTCTCTGCCTTTCTTTCTTTCCTTCTCCTTCCCTCCTTCTTTCCCTCTTTCCCTACCTCCTTCTCTACCTCCTTCCTTCCTTCTCTACCCTTCTCTCCTTCCTTCTCTACCCCTCTTTCCTTCCTTCTCTACCTTTCTTTCTTTCCTTCTCCTTCCCTCCTTCTTTCCCTCTTTCCCTACCTCCTTCCTTCCTTCTCTACCCTTCTTTCCTTCCTTCTCTCCTTCCTTCTCTACCCCTCTTTCCTTCGTTCTCTACCTTTCTTTCTTTCCTTCTCCTTCCCTCCTTCTTTCCCTCTTTCCCTACCTCCTTCTCTCCCTCCTTCCTTCCTTCTCTACCCCTCTTTCCTTCCTTCTCTACCCCTCTTTCCTTCCTTCTCTACCTTTCTTTCCTTCTCCTTCCCTCCTTCTCTCCTTCCTTCCTTACTTCTCTACCCTTCTTTCTTTCTCTCCTTCCCTCCTCCTTTCCCGCTTTCTCTCCCTCCTCCTCTACCTCCTTCCTACCTTCTCTACCCTTCTTTCCTTCCTTCTCTACCCTACTTTCTCTCCCTCCCTCCTCCTTTCCCGCTTTCTCCATGATAATGCGATATGTCTCCTTAAGAGCCACATCCATTGTTTTAGTGTGGTGAGATGTGTTCCACACTGGGCATGCATACTCAGCAGCAGGTGGTGCAATACCGGCTAAGCAGTGTAATTTCTCCAGCGGTGTAGGGCGCAGACACCCCATGATAATGCGGCATGTCTCCTTAAGAGCCACGTCCACTGTTTTAGTGTGGTGTGATGTGTTCCACACTGGGCATGCGTACTCAGCAGTAGAGTAGCATAGCACAAGGGCAGATGTCTTCACTGTGTCTGGTTGTGATCCCCAGGTTGTGCCAGTCAGCTTTTGTCTGATATTGTTTCTAGCGCCCACGTTTTGCTTGATATTCAGGCAGTGCTTCTTGTAGGTCAGAGCACGGTCCAAGTTACTCCCAGGTATTTGGGTGCGCTGCAATGCTCCAGTGGGATTCCTTCCCAGGTCATCCTCAGAGCTCGGGATGCTTGTCTGTTTTTAAGGTGCAAGGCACATGTCTGTGTTTTAGATGGGTTGAGGATCAGCTGGTTTTCCCTGTAATAGGCAGCAAGAGCACCTAGAGCTTCGGAGAGCTTCTGTTCAACCATCTCAAAGCTCCCTGCTCGAGCGGTGATGGCACGATCATCTGCATAGATGAAACTCTCTGTCCCTTCTGGCAGTGGCTGGTCATTTGTGTCTTAGCCTACTAATAATGCAGCAGGGAGCCTGGGCAGTTCCAGGACTTCAACTGTCTCCTGCCTGTTCTAAAGGGAGGGTTGCAACGGCATCCCTTAATGTCCTTCTGCTTCTCGCAGAGCTTTCTGGGAAATGTAGTCCATGGGGCCAAGCCGAGCCCATTCGGAGGGGAAACACAACTCTCTGACGGCTCTGTGCCTGGCATTGTTCAGCCTGTGGTGCTGAGAGCTGACAGGGAGGGAAGTTTGCAGAGCGGCGAAGGAATTGGCTGCCATTTGTTGAAGTGGTGTTATGATTTGTTGAAGTAGTGTTATGTATATGCCTGAGTGCCTCGCGGAGGAAGGAAACTCGGGGCTTCATGGCGAAGGGAGTGGAAGTGCTCAGGAGGGGAAGCATTAGTTCTTAGCTATCAGGACCTTTTATTCTGCATTTAAAGGGCATTTTTGTCTTTTATGTTTCTTGTCCTCTCCTTCCCTGACAGTTTGGCACCAATTTAATAGCCACAGCTCAATGGTATTGAATCCTGGGGTGCCCCTGGCAGTTTTTTCTCTCTCGCGTAGGAGGAGACGGGGCTAAGGGAGTATTTGTAGCGCATGCACTGTATTGTGTTTTATTTATTTTGGGTCATTAGGTCCTTGTCGCTTTGTGTTTATGTTTTTTTGTTAGTGATGGTCACTCGTTGGCCTGATAGGTGTATTGTGCCCAAATTTGGTGTCAATTCGTCCAGTGGTTTTTGTGCTGGTACAGCTGCACCAGAAGCTCCCACTTTATTTGCCTTGTATTAAGTGTTTGCTTTCAGCCCAAGGCTTGGGATTCTGCAGAAGGGTGGCTTCCTGTTAGAGTTTGCAGTTATAGGGCAGGCCCCCTGTCCATCATCGTTAAGTTTGGTTCCGCCCCCTGTTCAGGACAATTGAGAAGGGAAGGGAGCCATTTTTAGTCAGTCTCAGCAAGGAAAGTCAATGTACAGGACGTGTACAGACCTCTCCTGTACAAAGGCTTCAACCCTTAAGACTTCCCGGGGGAGAACAGTCTTAAGAGCAAAAGGATTCCCAAAGAACTCCAGTTGAAGTGACTACGGGTCTACTGGTAGGTCCACTCGGTGCTTTGAGACGCAGTTCAACCCGGTAGTGGAGCCCACATAAGTTAGGTTTAGGTTCACAGTTAGCCTGGGAGAAGTTTGGAAAAGGATTTTCTTTTAGAGTAAAGTAACAGTTAGAAGCCACCAGTTGCACAAAAGCCTGGAAGCATTGGTTTAACCTTTTGAAGACAAAAGAAGTTTCTGTTGATTAGGTTGTTGTAGGTTTTTCCGGGCTATATGGCCATGTTCTGGAGGCAATTTTTCTCCTGGCGTTTCGCCTGCATCTATGGCAAACATCCTCAGAGGTTGTGAGGTCCTGTTGATTCTGTTGATTGTTTCTGTTGATTGTTCACCAATAAAGACTCTGTTATATTTCACAAGCCCTCTAAAGACTGTTTATGGTGAAAATCCTTAAGAATTTCCCTTCGGGCCCCCTGGCTTCCCGCAGGGCTAAAGTTGCATGTCCTGTTTTAAAATCAATTCATTTCAAGCCCAGCGTGTAACAGAACAGTTTTTGAGTTATGTTAATCCCACAAACAAACATTACATTTTTATTTATATAAATACACACGCATACAGGCCTGTGCCTACTTTGTCCCTCTCTCCAGGTGTTTTGGACTTCAGCTCTCACAATTCCTAACAGCCAGAATTGTGGGAATTGAAGTCTGAAACACCTGGAAGGAGGGCCAAAGTTGGCCCAGGCCTGATATATTTAGATAGAGATATAGACGTGCGTGCACACACAAAGAGAATAAGAAGAGAGCAGGAAAAAGGGTGAGGAAGGAAGGAAGGAAGGGGAATATCTATATATAGAGATATTTATAGATACACACACACACACAAAGAGAATAGGAAGAGGGCAGGGAAAAGGGTGAGAAGGAAGGAAGGTTAATATATATGGGCCAACTTCGGCCCTGCATTTGTTTTGGACTTCAACTCCCACAATTCCAAACAGCCAGTAGGAAGTCCAAAATACCTGTAGGGCCAAAATTTGACCATTTATTTGTCGTGTCAGGGCAACCAGTCAGTTATATTACATTTCTAACAGAGCAAAGCAAGCAAACAAACAGACAAAATACAATATTTGTGAGTTTGGTAGTTGATTAAATGCCCTTTGACCAGTATCTGGCCAGTTGGAGTGCTTCTGGTGTTGCTGCAAGGAGGTCCTCCATTGTGCATGTGGCAGGGCTCAGGGTACATTGCAGCAGGTGGTCAGTGGTTTTCTCCTCTCCACACTCGCATGTCGTGGATTCCACTTTGTAGCCCCATCTCTGAAGGTTGGCTCTGCATCTCGTGGTGCCGGAACGCAGTCTGTTCAGCGCCTTCCAAGTCGCCCAGTCCTCTGTGTGCCCAGGGGGGAGTCTTTCATTTGGTATCAGCCATTGGTTGAGGCTCTGGGTTTGAGCCTGCCACTTTGGGACTCTCGCTTGCTGAGAGTGTCTCTGTAGATCTTAGAAAACTATTTCTAGATTTAAGTCGTTGACATGCTGGCTGCTACCCAAACAGGGGATGAGCTGGAGATGTCTCTGCCTTGGTCCTTTCACTATTGGCTGCTACTTCCTGGCGGATGTCTTCCGGTATGATGGCGGCGTGGTAGCAGCGAGCCTCCGCAACGGTAGGAAAGAACTTGGAAAGAACTTGCAATTTTTGGCTTAAGCTTCCCCAACCGGAGCCCCTGATACCCGCTCCATATTCCAACGACAAACCAGGGGCACGGAAGTGGCCTTGGTGGGTCGAATGGGAAGAGCGTCGCTGAGAAAAGGGCTGGAAAAGCTGGGAGAGCAAGGAGGTAGAGCAGTGATGGCGAACCTATGACACGCGTGTCACTACTGACACGGGAAGTCATTTCTAGTGACACGCGCCCGCAGAGCATCTGTCTCTCTTCACGACGCTCCTAGCCTTCGGCCGCTCTCCTCTTGCTGCTCCTGTTGCCCCTGGACGGGAGACCAGCAGCAGCCAGGCTAGTAGCAGGGCAGCAAGAGGAGAGTAGCCGAAGACTAGGAGCGCCATGAAGAGAGATAGACGCCCCAGCCATGGTGCACCTGCCTCGAACACCCTGGAGCTCTACAGGCGGAGATGGAGCATCCGGAGGCTGGGGGGGGGGGGGGGGGGGGGGGGGGGGCGGCAGGAAGGCCCTGATCTGCTTGCCTGCCTGCCTGCATTTCATCCTTCCTTCCCTCCTTTTGCCTTTCTTTCCCCCTTCCTTCCTTCCTTCCTTCCTTCCGCCTTAATCGCTTCCCTCCCTTCGCCTTTTCCTTTTCCACTTCTTCCTTCTTTCCTTCGGCACTTGGCTGCTCCCTCCCTCCATTCAGATTAAGCTCTGCCTCCTCATCCTCGCCCTCCACATATCAGGTTTTTGTGCCAAATTTGGTAAAGATCCATCATTGTTTGCGTTCACAGTGCTCTCTGGATGTAGGTAAACCACAACTCCAAAACTCAAGTCCAATGCCCTTCAATTTACTTCAAGAGACTATTGGTGTTGTTGTTGTTATTGTTCCTGCAGTAATTCTATCTTCCTGCCTGGCAGAAGGAAGGGGTTGGACTAGATGACCTTTGGGGTTCCCTTCCAATTGTATGAGTCTTATAATCTTAATAGTAATAGTAATAATAATAATAATAATATACTAATGCTATCTTCCTGCCTGGCCGAAAGAATGGGCTGGACTAGATGACCTTTGGGGTTCCCTTCCAATTGTATCTTATAATACAGGGTTAGTCAAAATGAATAGGCCAATAAGAAAATTAATTTTAGACGAATGTATGTTTACTGTAACCAAACCACAGCTACGTAGCGACAGATAAATTATCAAAGTTTTGTCTCACCTTCAGAGATGTTCGATATGGGCGCCCCGTGTGACACGGCAGATGTCCAAGCGATAGTCCAGTTCATTCCACATCCGTTGCAGCACATCCGACGTAATGGCATCGAATGCAGCTGTGTCTTCGGAGACACGTGGTCGTCCTGTGGTTTTACCCTTGCATAAGCAGCCCGTCTCCTCAAATTGCTTTACCCACCTCGCAATGGAATGTCGATGAGGTGGTTCCTTGCCATACTTGGCTCGAAATTCTCGCTGGACCGTAATTACTGACATTGTTTTAGCAAATGTCATCACACAAAACGCCTTCTCTTTGCTTGAATCCGCCATTTTGAAAACAGCGACCCCTAGCGACGCCTAGCGGCATTAACGTACATGTGTGTTGCTCAAAAAAAACTTTGATAGTTTATCTGTCGCTACGTAGCTGTGGTTTGGTTACAGTAAACATACATTCGTCTAAAATTAATTTTCTTATTGGCCTATTCATTTTGACTAACCCTGTACATAATAATAATAATAATAATATTAATAATATACTAATGCTATCTTCCTGCCTGGCAGAAAGAAGGGGCTGGACTAGATGACCTTTGGGGGTCCCTTCCAACTGAGTTTAACAACAACAACAATAGCAACAACAACAATAATAATCCCTTCCCCCCCCCCCCCCCCCCCCCCCCCCAGTATGTTCTATTGGTCATGGGAGTTCTGTATGCCAAGTTTGGTTCAGATCAATTTTGGAGGAGCTCAGAATGCTCTTTGATGCCTGGTGAGTCATGGGAGTTTGGCCGATAGTTTGTGGCAGCCACACAAAGTTTCAGGATATTTTATTTATCGTGTCATCTACAACCAGAACATTGTATTACATTTCTAACAGAACAAAACAAACAGATTAAAAAACACACACAAATTTTGCAAACGTGGTAGTTGGTTAAATGTCCTTTGACCAGTATCTGGCCCCTTGGAGTGCCTCTGGTGTTGCCGCAAGAAGGTCCTCCATTGTGCATGTGGCAGGGCTCAGGTTGCATTGCAGCAGGTGGTCAGTGGTTTGCTCTTCTCCACACTCACATGTTGCGGATTCCACTTTGTGGCCCCATTTCTGAAGGTTGGCTCTGCATCTCGTGGTGCCAGAGCGCAGTCTGTTCAGCGCCTTCCAAGTCGCCCAGTCTTCTATGTGCCCAGGAGGGAGTCTCTCATTTGGTATCACCCACGGATTGAGGTGCTGGGTTTGAGCCTGCCACTTTTGAACTCTCGCTTGCTGAGGTGTTCCAGCGAGTGTGTGTGTAGATCTAAGAAAACTATTTCTTGATTTAAGTCGTTAACGTGCTGGCTGATACTCAAACAAGGGATGAGCTGGAGATGTCACTGCCTTGGTCCTTTCACTATTGGCTGCTACTTCCCGGCGGATGTCAGGTGGTGCGATACTGGCTAAGCAGTGTAATTTCTCCAGTGGTGTAGGGCGCAGGCACCCCGTGATAAGGCGGCATGTCTCCTTAAGAGCCACATCCACTGTTTTAGCGTGGTGAGATGTGTTCCACACTGGGCATGCATACTCAGCGGCAGAGTAGCATAGCGCAAGGGCAGATGTTTTCACTGTGTCTGGTTGTGATCCCCAGGTTGTGCCAGTCAGCTTTCGTATGATATTGTTTCTAGCACCCACTTTTTGTTTGATGTTCAGGCAGTGCTTCTTGTAGGTCAGAGAACGGTCCATAGTGACTCCTCCCAGGTATTTGGGTGCGCTGCAATGCTCCAGTGGGGTTCCTTCCTTCCCAGGTGATCTTCAGAGCTTGGGATGCTTCTCTGTTCTTAAGGTGAAAGGCACATGTCTGTGTTTTAGATGGATTGGGGATCAGTTGGTTTTCCCTGTAATAACTCTTTCAAACCAGGAACAGAATTCTGTTCTACAATTTTATTATTATGTTTATTTATACATCACTTTTTTGTCTCCACAAGGCGACTGTGGGCCCCTCCAGACGTCCTATATCCCAGGATCTGATCCCAGGCTTTCTGCTTTAAACTGGATTATCAGAGTCCGCACTGCCATATAAGCCAGTTAAGTGTGGATTTTTAATACAACTGTGTGGAATGGGCCAGAGCAGCTTACATTTCAATACAACTTTAAATCTACAAATATATGAAACATTACAATAGAATTAAACATCATTGCTATTCTTTTAAACAGGCATGGGCCAACTTGGGCCCTCCTTGTGTTTTGGACTTCAACTCCCACAATTCCTAACAGCGAGTAGTGGGAGTTGAAGTCCAAAACACAAGGAGGGCCCAAGCTGTCTTATATGGCAGTGTGGACTCTGATAATGCATTTCAAAGCAGATATTGTGGATTATCTGCCTTGATATTCTGGGTTATATGGCTGTTTGGAAGGGCCCTTTCAGACAGGCCCTATATCCCAGGATCTGATCCTAGGTTTTCTGTTTATCCCAGATTATCTGGCAGTGCACACTGATATAATACATTAAACAAGCTAATGTTTTTAAGAAACACATATTTCAAACAGACACACCACACTGCGGAGCTGGAGGTAACACGTGAAGCCTGGGGTGGCTGCAACACATCCACCGCTCCCCATTCATGAGCAAAGGAAGGGCGGGAAGAATGTCAATGCCTTCGGGAGGCAGGAAGAGGAGGGTGGAGGGTCCTGCAAAGAAAGGAGGGGAGGGTGGACTCAATAGAAGAAGACTGAAAAAGCCTCATGGAGAAAGAATCCCTTTAACCTCAGAAGACTAAGCATCTGGCCTTCCACAAAGGATAATAATAATAATAATAATCTTTATTTAATATCCTGCCTCCATCTCCCCAACGGGGATTCGGGGCAGCTTACATGAGGCCAAACCCAACAGCATATTACAATAAAATAAAACCAAAACACAACAACACAGTGAAATAGAAAAAAACATATGAATACAGTAAATAATATAAAATTCAACAAAATCATTCACAATCACTGACAATGAGCAGGCTGCATGTGCAAGATAAAATACTAAAAACTCAGGGTGAGATAGGAATGGAGCAGATTATTCGTGAGGGAGGCGCTCGTAAAGGAACGGGGGTCGTAGAAATAGGCCTTCATACAAGCAGGGGGAAATGTACTCGGCTGTGGAACACCCTTCCCGTGGACATCAGACTGGCCCCTTCTCTGATGATATTCTGCAGGAAATTAAAGACGTGGTTGTTTAAGAAGGCGTTCGAGCAAAAAGTGCAATGATTGGTAATGACTATAAGAACAGAATAACGGAATACGATATAGGATGGTGATTTGGACGTTGAGACGACGCGGAATGGTTTCTGGTAGAAATGATGTTACTGTTTCTGTATAATGTTGTGAATTGTTTTTATTGTGCTTGAACTTCGCTGTTTTTGTGTTGTACACCACTGTGAGTCGCCCGCGGGCTGAGAACAGCGGTCTATAAATAAAGTAAGTAAATAAATAAATAATACTCTAGGAACAAAACGTTGAGGGGGAGTCATTGTGTATGGTTGTATGGTTACTCTCCAAAAGCGCAACGGAAAAGCCAGGTTTTGAGATCCCTCTCCAACGTTTCTAAATTCGGGGCTTTCCTAATTTCCCCGGGCAAGGAGCTCCAGAGTTGGGGTGCCACAGAGGACAAGCCTCTCTCCCTTGTACCCACAAGACGGGCCTGTGATAATGGCAGGGGCAAAAGAGGGCCTCCCCCAAGATCAAAGAAAGTCATGGATTCGGTCACGAAGGTAGGCGGGTCCCAGAACGTTTAGGGCTTTGTAGGTGATAACCTGCACCTTGAATTGGGACCGGAAAATAAAGTGAAGTTCCTGAAACAGGGGGGTTGACCACTCCCTGTAATTTGCCCCAGTTATTAATCTGGCTGCTACACATTGGACGAGTTGTAATTTCCTGGCCGTCTTCAAATACTGTGTGTCCCCTTTGAAATCCTGTGTCTGTTTCCTGCAGGATTTTAGAGTTTGTAGTTTAGAGAGGCCCAGGACCTCTCTGGCTGAGAATTGTAAAGGCTCCGCTCTAAACACTTTCCATACACAGACATTTATGGGTACCATCCACTTTGTACCTGAGGAGGGATTATATGTAGTTGGGCATGCGTAAAAGTATTTGTCACCAGGCAATGGGCACCTTCCCTCTTCCCCTGGGTTTGCTACAGCACTAGACTTCCTCTCTGTGTTCCATGAGATTTTCTCTGTTCAACTTCTGAAGAGATTTTCCTCTCATTTGTCTGGCAGGTAACATCCGAACAAGTTCTGCGAAGAACACCTTGTGAGAGCTTTGCCCAAGGAGTGCTGTAAATCCAAAGTGAATTCAAGATACACAGCAATGACAACAAGAAAAAATAAGTAGTAGAAAAATATATTTCAAGCTACACATCTGTGCATTTAACGTGTGGAAATAACATTGTTCTGAAAAAAGAGAGACTCGGGAAAGCAAGTAGAAGGCTAAAACACTACAAAAACTGTGCTGTTTAGGAGGTTATATCTGTGAACCCCTGGCATAATATTTGAATTATACATGTAAAAGAATGGCAAGACCTCTATCTCCCAATTCTAGAATAGATACAGGGGAGAAGTTATATCAGTGCATGGAATGTGGAAAACAATTTGATATAAAAACTTCTCTTACTGTACATGAACGGACCCACACAGGGGAGAAACCATATAAATGCACAGTCTGTGGAAAAAGCTTCAGTCAGAATGGAAAACTGCATTCCCATCAAAAGATCCACACAGGGGAGAAGCCACATAAATGCATGGAATGTGGAAAAAGCTTCTGTCATGGTAACGATCTATGTACCCATCAAAGAACCCACACAGGGGAGAAGCCATATCAATGCATGGAATGTGGAAAGAGCTTCAAACACAGTCAGAATCTGCGTAACCATCAAAGGACCCACACAGGGGAGAAGCCATTTAAATGCACGGAATGTGGAGAAAGCTTCAATCGCAGTGACATTCTACGGTCCCATCAAAGGACCCACACAGGGGAAAAGCCATATAAATGCATGGAATGTGGAGAAAGCTTTAGTCACAGTGGCACTCTACATTCCCATCAAAGGACCCACACAGGGGAGAAGCCACACAAATGCACGGAATGTGGAGAAAGCTTCAGTCGCAAGGACAGTCTACAGTCCCATCAAAGGACCCACACAGGGGAGAAGCCATATAAATGCATGGAATGTGGAGAAAGTTTCAGTCGCAGTAATATTCTACGTTTGCATCAAAGGAAGCACACAGGGGAGAAGCCACATAAATGCATGGAATGTGGAGAAAGCTTCAGTCTCAGTAGACATTTGCGTTCCCATCAAATGACCCACACAGGGGAAAAGCCCTATAAATGCATGCAATGTGGAGAAAGCTTCAGTCACAGTAGCAGTCTACGTTCCCATGAAAGGAACCACACAGGGGAGAAGCCATATAAATGCATAGAATGTGGAGAAAGCTTCAGTCGCAGTGACGCTCTACGTTCCCATCAAAAGACCCACACAGGGGAGAAGCCATATGAATGCATAGAATGTGGAAAGAGCTTTAGTCGCAGTAACAGTCTGCGTACCCATCAAAGGACCCACACAGGGGAGAAGCCATATCAATGCATGGAATGTGGAAAGAGCTTCAGTCAGAGTAACAAGCTACGTATCCATCAAAGGACCCACACAGGGGAGAAACCATATAAATGTGTGGAATGTGGAGAAAGCTTCATTCGCAGTGACCATCTAAATTACCATCAAAGGAAGCACACAGGGGAGAAACCACATAAATGCATGGAATGCGGAAAGAGTTTCTATCATGTTACCGAACTACGTTCCCATCAAATAACCCACACAGGGGAGAAGCCATATAAATGCATGGAATGTGGAAAGAGCTTCAGTCACAGTCAGAGTCTGCGTGTCCATCAAAGGACGCACACGGGAGAGAAGCCACATAAATGCATGGAATGTGGAGAAAGCTTCAGTCAGAGTGGACATCTACGGTCCCATCAAAGTACGCACACAGGGGAGAAGCCACATAAATGCAGAGAATGCGGAGAAAGCTTCAGTCGCAGTGATGGTTTACGTTCCCATCAAAGGAAGCACACAGGGGAGAAGCCGCATAACTGCATGGAATGTGGAAAGAGCTTCAGTCACAGTAACAATCTGCGTGCCCATCAAAGGACCCACACAGGGGAGAAGCCACATAAATGCATGGACTGTGGAGAAAGCTTCAGCCAGATTGGCACTCTACGTTGCCATCAAAGAACCCACACAGGGGAGAAGCCATATAAATGCATAGAATGTGGAGAAAGCTTCAGTCGCTGTGGCAATCTACGTACCCATCAAAGGACTCACAAAGGGGAGAAGCCATATAAATGCATGGAATGTGGAAAGAGCTTCATTCGCAATGACAGTCTACGTTCGCATCAAAAGACCCACACAGGGGAGAAGCCACATAAATGCTTGGAATGTGGAAAGAGCTTCAGTCAGAGTAAAAATCTGCGTACCCACCAAATGACTCACACAGGACAGAAGCCATAGAAATGCATAGAAGGTGGAGAAAGTTTCATTCAGAGTAACAATCTACATTCCTTTCAAAGGAGCCACATAGCAAAGAAGCCATATAAATGCATAGAATCAGGAAAGAGCAGTGAAAATCCACATTCCCATCAAAGGACCCACCCAATGCTTCCTCTTCATCTTGGACAGAAGTGGCGAGTGGAGTGCTGCGGGGTTGCCTCCTGGGTCTGGTCCTGTTCAACATCTTTATTAATGACTTAGATGAAGGGCTAGAAGGCATGATCATCAAGTTTGCAGACGACCCCAAATTGGGAGGGATAGCCAATACTCCAGAGGACAGGAGCAGGATTCAAAACGATCTTGACAGATTAGAGAGATGGGCCAAAACTAACAAAATGAAGTTCAACAGTGACAAATGCAAGATACTCCACTTTGGCAGAAAAAATGAAATGCAAAGATACAGAATGGGGGACAATGCCTGGCTCGAGAGCAGTACGTGTGAAAAAGATCTTGGAGTCCTCGTGGACAACAAGTTAAACATGAGCCAACAATGTGATGTGGCGGCAAAAAAAGCCAATGGTATTTTGGCCTGCATCAAGAGGAGCATCGTGTCTAAATCTAGGGAAGTAATGCTCCCCATGCTCTATTCTGCTTTGGTTAGACCACACCTGGAATATTGTGTCCAATTCTGGGCACCACAATTCAAGAGAGATTTTGACAAGCTGGAACGTGTCCAGAGGAGGGCGACTAAAATATGGAGACAGGCTTTTGATGAATAAGATAATGATTTGGATGGAATATGGTTTATATGTGTTTTTAGTATGACGACTGACCACTGTAGTTTTTAAATATATGGGTTATTGTTTTAATGGGTTATTGTAATTATGTACTATGATGTTTTACCAATTGTATGTACTTTTATGGTTGGAAACCGGTCTGAGTCCCTTGGAGAGGTGAGAAGGTCGGTATATAAAACTTGGAAATAAATTAAAAAAATGATCAAGGGTCTGGAGAAGAAGCCCTATGAGGAGCGGCTTAAGGAGCTGGCCATGTTTAGCCTGAAGAAGAGAAGGCTGAGAGGAGATATGATAGCCATGTATAAATATGTGAGAGGAAGCCACAGGGAGGAGGAGGGAGCAAGCTTGTTTTCTGCTCCCCTGGAGACCAGGACGCAAGGGAACAATGGCTTCAAACTACAAGAGAGGAGATTCCACCTGAACATGAGGAAGAACTTCCTGACTGTGAGAGCCGTTCAGCAGTGGAACTCTCTGCCCCGGAGTGTGGTGGAGGCTCCTTCTTTGGAAGCTTTTAAACAGAGGCTGGATGGCCATCTGTCAGGGGTGATTTGATTGCAATATTCCTGCTTCTTGGCAGAATGGGGTTGGACTGGATGGCCCATGAGGTCTCTTCCAACTCTTTGATTCTAGGATTCTATGAAAGAAGGAGCCTCCACCACACTCCGGGGCACTCTTTGATAGGAGAAGTCAAATCAATCAACATCGCCACCTGGAAGGGGGTGGAAGACAGTCTAAAAGATTAAGAGAATAGAGGGGTCAGGGAGAGGTTTCCCAAGGGAAATGGAATGCTTTTGCCATGGCTTTCTGAATAAATATGGGGCCTGTGAATCTATACTCTTCAGTGAGTCCAACATTTGGTTTTCATGCCTGCGTCATGCTTGCTTGTTCATGCTGAGAATCATGTATAATCTTGCTTTGTATTCATGCACATGCTGAGATTATTGTAAACTGGTGTTTGTGGTTTCAAGCTATTGCATTTAGATTATTTGATTCAAGTTGGCTCCTGTTTCTTCAAGGGACTTTTGCCTTTGCCACCTTTGGAAAAGAAGGACTTCCTTCCTATGGATTTGCTTTTTGGATTTTGGGACTGATTTGTCTCCTAACTTGGATTTGGATTGGATTTCCTTACATTGCTTATTTGCTGATTTTGTGGACATTACCTTTTCTCTATTTGAATGCTTTTTACCTTTTTGACTATTGCTATATTAATCTTCAATAAATTGGTTTGATTATTAAAGAACATTGGTGTGTTTACGGGTTCAAAGGTGCCTACTCCAGCCCTGGTGTGCAACACTTACTGTATATAATATATGCGTAGTGTAATTCAGTGTTATAATGGATTTAATTATTGAAACAACTTCACACTTCTACATTGATACATAGATATCTGTTGCTTTATATTTTATACTGTTTAATCCCCACCTTTTGGCAAAGGGTCCATTCGGATACACAGCACATCTCCCTAACTGCAGAGAATGGAGGACAAAGAATGGTGACAAAGAATGAGGAAAAAAGGAAGGGGGTGGAAAAAGGAAGGAAGGAAAAAGGAAGGGGGTGGAAAAAAGAAGGAAGGACAGAAGGAAGGAAGGGGTGGAAAAAAAGAAGGAAGGGGGTGGAAACAGGAAGGAAGGGATAAAGGAAAGAAGGAAGGAAGGAAAAAGGAAGGGGATGGAAAAAGGAAGGAAAGAAGGAAGGAAGGGGGTGGAAAAAAGAAGGACAGAAGGAAGGAAGGGGTGGAAAAAGGAAGGAAGGAAGAAAGGAAAGAAGGAAGGAAGGAAAGAAGGAAGGGGGTGGAAACAGGAAGAAAAGGAAAGTAGGAAGGAAGGAAAAAGGAAGGGGATGGAAAAAGGAAAGAAGGAAAGAAGGAAGGGCAGAAGGAAGGAAGGGGGTGGAAAAAGGAAGGATAGAAGGAAAAAGGAAGGAATGGGGTGGAAAAAAGAAGGAAGGAAGGAAGGAATAGGATAATAGCACATCTCACAGCACTGCAGAGAATGGAAGACAAAGAATGATGACAACCGCTGATGAAGATTCAAGTCTATCAGTCGAGATGGACAAATTAACTAAATTGATGAAGTATTGAACAGCATTTAAAGGAAATTTGGTATTCCAACAGTGGAGGATGTTTTCTACCACTGTGGCAAGTTTCATCAGGATAGTTCAAAAAATGAGGGAGAGAGAAGCTCCTGAAGTGTCCCCCACATTGTGTTGTTTTCCCCCTATTGTGCACGCATGTCTGCCATTAAGAAATCACTTTTGAACGTTTTGATTTTTTTAATTGGAAAAATTCGGAAGTGACTTTAGAATCAAAGTGCGAGGGACTTTTGAACACAGTTTAGAACAGTGGTTCTCAACCTTCCTAATGCTGCCACCCCTTAAGACAGTTCCTCATGTTGTGGTGACTCCCAACCATAAAATTATTTCCATTGCTACTTCATAACTGAACTGACCACGGAACAGGAGACGGGTTCAAGATTGGGAAAGGCGTACGGCAAGGCTGCATCCTCTCACCCAACCTTTTTAACTTGTATGCAGAACACATCATGCGATGTGCGGGGCTTGATGAATGGAAAGCTGGGGTGAAAATTGCTGGAAGAAACATTAACAACCTCAGATATGCAGATGACACCACTCTGATGGCCGAAAGCGAGGAGGAGCTGAGGAGCCTTCTAATCAAGGTGAAAGAAGAAAGCGCAAAAGCCGGGTTGCAGCTAAACGTCAAAAAAACCAAGATTATGGCAACAAGAATGATTGACAACTGGAAATAGAGGGAGAAACCGTGGAGGCCGTGACAGACTTTGTATTTCTAGGTGCAAAGATTACTGCAGATGCAGACTGTGGCCAGGAAATCAGAAGACGCTTCCTTCTTGGGAGGAGAGCAATGTCCAGTCTCGATAAAAGAGTGAAGAGTAGAGACATCAGACTGGCAACAAAGATCCGCCTAGTCAAAGCCATGGTATTCCCTGTAGTAACCTACGGATGTGAGAGCTGGACCTTAGGGAAGGCTGAGCGAAGGAAGATCGATGCTTTTGAACTGTGGTGTTGGAGGAAAGTTCTGAGAGTGCCTTGGACTGTGAGAAGATCCAACCAGTCCATCCTCCAGGAAATAAAGCCCGACTACTCATTGGAGGGAAGGAGACAAAGTTGAAGTCCTTTGGCCACATCATGAGGAGACAGCAAAGCCTAGAGAAGGGAATGATGCTGGGGAAAGTGGAAGGCAAAAGGAAGAGGGGCCGACCAAGGGCAAAATGGATGGATGGCATCCTTGAAGCGACTGACTGACCTTGGGGGAGCTGGGGGTGGTGACGGCCGACAGGGAGCTCTGGCGTGAGCTGGTCCATGAGGTCACGAGGAGTCGGAGACGACTGAATGAATGAACAACATCAACAAACTTCATAACTGTCATTTTGCAACTGTTATGTATCGTCATGAATATCTGATATGCAGGATCAGACCAAATTTGGCACACATACCTGATATGTCCAAATTTGCATACTTGGGGGGGGGGGGTTGATTTTGTCATTTGGAAGTTGTAGTTCCTGGGATTTATAGTTCATCTACAATCAAAGAGCATTCTGGACTCCACCAATGATGGAATTGAACCAAACTTGGCACACAGAACTCCCATGACCAACAGAAAACTACTGGGAAGGTTTGGTGGGTACTGATCTTAAGTTTTGGAGTTGTAGTTCACCTACATGCAGAGAGCACTGTGGACTCAAACAATGATGTATCTGGACCAAACTTGGCACAAATACTCAATATGCCCAAATGTGAACACTAGTAGACTTTAGGGAAAATAGACCTTGACATTTCGGAGTTGTAGTTGCTGGGATGTATAGTTCACCTACAATCAAAGAATATTCTGAACCTCACCAATGATAGAATTGGGCCAGACTTCCCCCACAAAACCCCCATGACTAACAGAAAATACTGTGCTTTCTGATGGTCTTTGGCGACCCCTCTGACACCCCCTCGTGACCCCCCTCAGGGTCCCGACCCTCAGGTTGAGAACCACTGGTTTAGAACAATTTTTTTGTATCGCACATGCATAACAATGTCCAAAATGTAATAAAGATTCCTGTGTTATTACATAATTAGTCCAAAGTTATTTCTTTGGACTCCAGCTCCCATAATTTTTTCCCACAGAAAAACCTCAGGGCTTTATAGGCTAAAACCAGCACTTTGAATTGTGCTCGGTCGCAGACTGGCGAGCAATCTCGCTGCTGCCCGTTGGACTATTTGAAGCTTCCGAACAGTCTTCAAAGGCAACCCAACATGGAATGCATTGCAGTAATCTATTTGGGATGTGACAAGAGCGTGGACCACCGGAGCCAAGTCAGACGTCCCTAGGTACGGGCGCAACTGGCGCACAAGTTTTAATTGTGCAAAAGCTCCCCTGGCCACTGCCAAGACCTGGGGTTCCCGGCTCAACAAAGCATCTAGGATCACTCCCTCTGAAAGTGAAAGGTGCACTTTCAGAGGGAGTGCAACCCCATCCAGCACACGCTGTAACCCTATGCCCTGTTTGGCCTGAAGGACCTCTGCCTTGTATGGATTCAGTTTCAATTTGTTTGCCCTCATCCAGTCTGGCACAACTGCCAAGCACTGGTTCAGGACCTGAACAGCCTCTTCAGCAGTAGGTGGAAAGGAGTAGTAGAGTGGAACGTCATCTGCGTACAGGTGACATCGTGCTCTGAAAATCCGCGTGATCTCTCCCAACAGCTTCATGTAAACTGTAAATAATTCATTTTATAATAAACCCTTTATATAACAAGGAGCCCCCGGTGGTGCAGTGGGTTAAAGCGCTGAGCTGCTGAGCTTGTTGATCGAAAGGTCGCAGGTTCGATTCCGGGGAGCGGCGTGAGCTTCTGCTGTCAGCCCTAGCTTCTGCCAACCTAGCAGTTCGAAAACATGCAAATGTGAGTAGATCAATAGGTATCGCTCCAACGGGAAGGTAACGGCGCTCCATGCAGTCATGCCAGCCACATGACCTTGGAGGTATCTATGGACAACGCCGGCTCTTCGGCTTAGAAATGGAGATGAGCACCACACCCCAGAGTCAGACATGACTGGACTTAATGTCAGGGGACTACCTTTGCCTTTACCTATAACAATAAAACCAATCAAACCTTCCTGCATTTTGGACACTGGGGTAATATATCCTCGATCCTTGTCTCCAGGGATGAAGACACAAACATATATTCTAGATGCCACAAAGAAGAAAGCCTTTGCCTTCAGGTCTCGGGAGACTGACTTCTCGGGGACCACAACTCCCGGCACCCCCAAAGTGTGTTCCAGATCCATCAGGAAATGAACCAGTGACCACCACTCAAAAAATTATGATTTTATCATTTAGGAGTTGTAGTTGCTGGGATTTATAGTTTACTTACAATCAAAAAGCATTCTGAACTCCACCAATGATGGAATTGAACCAAACGTGGCACACAGGACTCCCATGACCAACAGAAAACACTAGCAGGGTTTGGTGGGCATTGACCTTGAGTTTGGGAGTTGTAGTTCACCTACATCCAGAGAGCACTGTGGATGTAAACAATGATGGATCTGGACCAAACTTGGCACAAATATTCCATATACCCAAATATGAACACAGATGGAGTTTGAGGGAAATAGACCTTGACATTTAGGAGTTGTAGTTACTTAGATTTATAGTTCACCAACAATCAAAGAGCATTCTGAAGCCCACAAACAACAGAATTAGGGCAAACTTCCCACACAGAACCCCCATGACCAACACAAAATACTTAAGGCCATCCAGTCCAACTCCCTTCACCAGGGCAACAAAACGTAATCAAAGCCCTCCTAACAAAGGGGCATCCAGCCACAGATATAGATAGATATATGATTCACACACACACACATAGTACCATAGATTTGAAAGGGACTCCTAAAGAAGGACAATTATATGTTGAATGTTTCAGAGCAGGCAAACCAGACACTCTCCACATCAACACTGACAAAGAAACAGCAAGAAATACTGTTTACCCACAAGCAGAAAGAAATTACATATATTAGAAACCAACACTTTCTCATTACTTTATTTTCCAGATCAACAGACTGGGCCACAGCAACGCGTGGCAGGGGACAGGTAGTGATATTATATAGAGATAGATAGCTAAATAGACATGGATAATTGTCTCTTGGGATGAGGAGGGAGGGAGGGAAGGGGAGAGAGAAGGGCCCTCCCCATTTTGGAAAATGGCATTTATAATATTTTGGAAA